GATATGATCAAATTTCGCAATCTGAAAAGTCACTCTAGCCGCGGCATTCTGGACTTTCTGTCAACGATCAAACTGTTATTTAGGTAGACCAAATAGAAGTGCGTTACAGTAATCAATGTGCGAAAATACAAAGGCATGGATCAGTGTCTTTGTGGATTGCACGGTAAGGAATTTTGTGATCTGTCTTATGTTGTATAGACCGCGAAAAGCCTTGCTACAAATCTTGCCTATGTCAACATTCATTCGCATATGAGCATCGAACAAGGACCCAAGGTTCCGGACGCTTTCTAAAGGTTTGATGCCGGTGTCACCAATGATAATAGATTCAATAGATGTTTTTTTCAAGTTGTTGACGGGTGCCAATAATTAGAAAGTCAGTTTTCGCGTCATTGATCATTAAACGATTTCCAATAAACCAAGAGCAAACATCAGCGATACACTTTTCAATCACAGAGACAGCGTTAATTTCCGAATGGATAGGACAAGGTCGGAAGGAGAGGTAAATCTGGGTGTCGTCAGCATAACCATGGACGGAAGCGAGGTGCTGAGAAATAATGTTAAAGAGGCGGGAGACGTAGAGAGTAAAAGGCCCCATACAACTGCCCTAAGGGACTCCACAGTTCAGATTGAAGTCGTCAGAAGTCTTATCACCGACAAGTATACGTTGTTTGCCACCAGACAGAAATGAGTCGAACCAATTTAAAGCAGTTCCGACGACTCCAAAATCCTGTTGCACAGAAGAATTGAATGTTCAATGGTATCAAAAGCAGCACTTAGGTCCAAAAGTACGAGAAGTGTCACTTCCTTATTATCCATACTCATTAAGATGTCGTTTTGAACCTTTAACAGAGCAGTCTCTGTCGAGTGATACTTACGGAAGCCGGACTGGAATTTAGGAAGAGGGGCATTTTTCTCACAGTGGACGAGAAGTTGTTGAAGTGCAGCCTTTTGCACTACCTTGGAAATGAATGGAAGATGATGCGATGTAGAAGAAAAATCGTGCGATTTAAAACAGAAAGGATGCGATTTAGAACATGAATGACGCGATTTGGAACAGATGTGATTTAGAGCAAAAAATAGTGTGATTCGTAAATAAATCACACTGCTGAGAGCCAATCACATTGCAGGGATCGCCAGTGATTTCAAAATGGATATAACTGGTATTAATATATAACGATTTTATCCTGCTTGTAACGGTTACAGAGTTCTTTTTCTTGCTTCTGCCTATGATGTAATTTTTTCTATCTAGCATAAATTGGTCCCTATTTCAACAAACTCGATTGTTGAGTGATCCCAAAACAACGTATGCTGTTGTTTCCGTTTACACTTATAAAACTATTTTCTCTTCGGCTTCCCATTCGAAAGAGAATATAACGACATTTATTTTGTTAGGGATAAGCAACTTTCGTCCACTGAACACCACATACCCTGACACTGTTTTTCCACTTGGAACAGGTATTCTATCATCTTCCACAAAGTCGTAACTTGCTGTGGAATTCTGAGAAAGAAAATACGACTTACAAAATTAAAACAGGCCGAAAGCACTGTACATTGTTCCTGTTGTAATTTGTTTGTCTATTTTGGTCGGGATTTGAAATGGTAGAACTGACGCCTTCCCGTTGTTCACATTGTAGGTAAACAATGGTCAGTTATAAGTGAAAATTGCATGTAAGTTTATCTCAATTCTTTTGAGAGTGATTTGGACTTCTAGGAAATTATCTTTTGACTGTCATGTAGCTTTCATTATGTCGGTTAGAGACTTCTTCTTTACCAATTTCAATTCGGAGCTCGGAACACTCCCAAAGTAGTGAGCAGAATTCATTTGCCGAGAAGCCAGCCTGTGTTGCTAACAGCAGATTGAAAAAGTGAACATCCTAAATCAATTTCATGGAAGCGTAGCTTCACTTTTAAATATAGTGGAACATATGGAAACAAGAGAGGAAAAAAAATGAAGAGATTACATAATTTGCAGAAAGTTCAGGATGCTTTCCATCAACTCCATCGTCTACCACTGCCACCAAAATTCCTTTTCCAGTGTATGCTGGCCAGACAGAAGTGATATTGTGTGTTGGCTTTGTTTGTCTCTCCTAGGAAGGCAAAATAAAAAAATACCATGTAAGTGGTAAATCAATACTAACCCCTCAACATCAAACATTTGTTCCGCTTACAACGACAATTTTTAAAGCACTAAGCAAAATGCCACCGACGAAGCCAGTTACATTAACTGAGAGACATTTAAGTTTCCAAAACAGGTCTTGCAATTCTCAGAACACTTAGCATTTATCTTCTACACGAGTTTTGTCGTTTGTATTTACTGCAAATGGAAACGTTATTCTGAAGCCGAAATACGCCCCTCTCGACTCAAAAAATTAATTAGCAATTAATGAATGAGGCTGAGTAGGATATGAAGAATTAAGCAGATCGAGGAGGGTGTTATCCGCCCCGGCCTTTGGCCTTGGTGGATAATACCCTCCGAGATATGCTTAATTCTTCATATCCTACGAAAGCCGAATTCATTAATTGCTTTATTATTCGCTCAAAATAATTCCTAGTTTAAAAACATAGCTAAAACATGCTTACCTGTATCGATGTTAAGTTTATCTTCGATAGTGTACGTTTAGATTTGTCCAGCTCTGTAAATATTCTCCAAATAGCAGATGTTGCCCTCCGAGTTGTCTTCTTGTTGTTTTGCCATGTTTTTAGCCATTATTTCGCTTAGTTCCAGCTGCAGTTCTTGCTCTTGAAACGAGTGAAGTGTCCGCCAGTTTAGTTTTCACAACGAAAACAACGCAAACTCGTCCCCAGGTCTTCTCGGTTAACGGTGCATTAACCTGTAGAGGGCTGCATTTTTGACGTCATTTCCTCGTTAAACACAAAACTCTTCCAAATTTGGTCATCAGTAACTGGTTATGATGAATTATGAGTGTGCTTTTAGCCAATCAAAATTGGGGAATATTTTGAATGAATAATAATATATGTTATTATTCATTCAAAATATTTACCCGATTCTGATTGGCTAAAAGAACACTCATAATTCACCATAACCAGTTACTGATGACCAAATTTGGAAGAGTTTTGTGTTTAACGAGAAAGTGACGTCAAAAATGCAGCGTTCTTGCAGGTTAATGCACCATTAACNGTTGTCTTCTTGTTGTTTTGCCATGTTTTTAGCCATTATTTCGCTTAGTTCCAGCTGCAGTTCTTGCTCTTGAAACGAGTGAAGTGTCCGCCAGTTTAGTTTTCACAACGAAAACAACGCAAACTCGTCCCCAGGTCTTCTCGGTTAACGGTGCATTAACCTGTAGAGGGCTGCATTTTTGACGTCATTTCCTCGTTAAACACAAAACTCTTCCAAATTTGGTCATCAGTAACTGGTTATGATAAATTATGAGTGTGCTTTTAGCCAATCAGAATTGGGGAAATATTTTGAATGAATAATAATATATGTTATTATTCATTCAAAATATTTACCCGAGTCTGATTGGCTAAAAGAACACTCATAATTCACCATAACCAGTTACTGATGACCAAATTTGGAAGAGTTTTGTGTTTAACGAGAAAGTGACGTCAAAAATGCAGCGTTCTTGCAGGTTAATGCACCATTAACCGAGAAGACCTGTGGACGAGGTAACAGGTTGTGAAAACAAAAAACGGCGGACATTTCACTCGTTTCAAGAGTAAGAACTAGGCAAAATTATAGCTAAAGACATGGCGAGAACACAACTCGAAGGGCGACATCTGCTATTTGGAGAATATTTGCGGAGCTGAACAACCCTAAACGTGCTATCGAAGGTGAACTTAACATCCATATAGTGAAGCATGTTTTAGCTTTGTTTTTAAACTAGGAATTATTTTGAATGAATAATAAAACAATTATTGAATTCGGCTTTCGTATTATATGAAGAATTATGGAGATCTCGGAGAATGTTATCCGCCTTGGCCTACGGCCTCGACGGATAACAACCTCCTCGATCACCATAATTCTTATAAGATACACAGCCTCATTCATTAATTGGTAATTATTCACCGGCTGGGAGGTCCATTATTGGGAGAAACTGTGCCCGAGGTTGTAGGCCGAGGGCGGTACTCAGACCGAGGGCACAGTTTTCCTAATACGGACCGACCTAGGCCGGTGAATAACATTTATATTTTTCTCCTACTGAGATTTAAGAATTTCGGAAAATTTTACTTCAGCCTCCAACCTATATGTGTGCTGAAGTAGGACGCCTTCGTGTTGATGAAGCGCGCGATCGATTGCAAATCAAAAATAAACATTACAACATGATTTTTAGCTCGCTAATTTACATTATCACAATTAAGTTACCTTTTAGAATAAAGAAAGGGTTTTGTGTCTTGGTAGACAATTCATAATCTGAGTGTCAAACAAGGATAAAAAGATTAACGAGCTTGATATTAAAAGCCCCGGGAAAAAAATACAGCAAAGATTTTCTTCGGCTGAATGATTACTTTATAAAGATTAGTTCAATCGAGCTGGATGAAAACTGCACAAAGGCTGTATAAAAAAGGCCAGTTACACATACCAATGTTAAGGTTTTGAATTGAATTCGAATAAAAGAAGGCGAAGTGAGTAACAAATATATTTACAAAAAAATGAAAACGGCGATAACCGACTGCTGGAAAGTGATTCGTGTTGTTTATTTGAGATTCAAAGCTAAATCGGCAATCATTGACAACAACCTAATTTCTGATAAGTAGAAAACTAGCGACGCAAAATTCAATGAAAAACGGAAGAATCTAGATTCAGACGGCAAAAATGGAAAACAAGACTACAAACAGAGCAAAAATGTCGAATAAACGGTGCACAAAAGCAAGATTGCGGTACTTACAGAGCGGTTATAAAGCTAGTGAAGAGACGTCACGAGCGGCCTCTTTTGCTTTACTTTAGCAGTTTTCCTGGCTAAATTGCTTGATTCTCCCTTCAGATTTTTTCTGAATAATAAAATTCACTTTTCCCTAGCTAATGCTAATAACATCTCAAG